TACCCTATGACCCAGCCATACCATTACTGGGTATCTATCCTAAGAACCTGATAACAGATATCTCAAGAGTCCGTTGCACCCCTATGTTCATCGCAGCATTATTTACAATAGCCAAGACGTGGAACCAGCCTACATGCCCAGAAACTGATGACTGGATAAAGAAGATGTGGTATATATACACAATGGAATACTACTCAGCCATAAAAAAAGACAAAATTGGCCCATTCACAACAACGTGGATGGACCTCGAGGGCATTATGTTAAGCGAAATAAGCCAGTCAGAGAAAGACGAACTCTATATGACTCCACTCATAGGTGGAAATTAGTATATTGAGAAGGAGATCTGATTGGTGGTTACCAGGGAAAAGGGGGGGTGGGGGGAGGGTACGAAGGGGGAAGTGGTGTACCCACAACATGACTAACAAAAATGTGCAACTGAAATCTCACAAGCTTGTAATCTATCATAACATTAATAAAATATATATATATATATAAAAAAAAAGAAATCCACTGTACAGTTTGCTCAACTGGTCACAAAGGCGGGGTTCTGTAGTCCAAATGCAGACACTGACACTCTTTACTGGGAAACAAAGCACAGCTGCGTCAACAAGGCATAAACCTTGGGTTGGCTCCACTGTCATCTCTGGTGACCATCCAATTTGTCTTTTCCCTCTTATTCACGAGTATCTCCAATAATTCGATATTCTTTTAGAATGTGTTGTGCTCGAAATAGCGGGCTATCTGCTAGTTGTTTAAATCGTGGGAGATGACTTTTCTCACATAACAGGATGTCTGGATGTTGGTGGTTGCTGACATTTGTTCAGTGGCTCACAAAGTCCAGGACTTGGGTTTGCGTCTCTGTGATCCTTCGGGTCCCGCCCACACGGCTGTCAGAGGACTGACGCTGCTGTCAGAGCTCCTGCTCACCCGCCCAGGTGAGGGCCAGGCAGCGGCAGAAGTTGACTCCTCATTCCTCTCTCTCTCAGCCAGGAGAGAGGAACCTTGCTCATAAGCTTCCCAGCTTCCTTTACTTCCTTTTACATTTCATTGGCCAGAGCTGTGTTGCTACATGGCTGCTCTAGGTGGAAAAAACAAGAGTAATAGGTTTTTCCAACCCTTATAATAGGTAACGGAAAATGGAGAAGGGGTTGGAAACGGTTTTTGAATAGGCACAGAAAAGGGTCTGGGTAGACCTGAAACGCTGCTCCACCCTTTGCAGTCTCATTTATTACAGGACCCAAACTGCATTCTCGGTGGTGACATTGTCCTCATACCTTAAGATGCTCCTCCTTGTTTGTCTGGTGCCAGAATAAGAAAATATTCGGCACAGAATCAGCAAGTCATACATGTGTATGTCAGATTAAGCATATCAGCAGAACATGTACTATTGTTAAAAGATTACATTTTTATTTTTATTTTGAAACGTTTTCCTTCCCCCTGCCCCCACTAGGGTATTGTTTTCTTTTTTCTGTGGACTTTTCTTGGGTCCTGCAATTCCTACAGTAATAAATGTAGAGACGTTTACACCAGGTTGCAGTGAATGTGTTATTTATATAAATGTGTAAGATCAGTACTTTCATGATTTGGGATTCAAGAGAAGCGTTATGGTGAACTTCTCTGTATTTATTATTTTTTGAAAAGGTAATAGGAGATAGAAGCTCACTCACCCCTAGCATTTCTGAAGCACAGAGTTTAATCAAAAATCTGTCCAGGCCAGAAATGTTATCATGTTCTAGTAACTCACCACTCAATCACAGCCTTTTAGGTTTATTCATCAACCCTTAGCACAGAATCTGTCACTGAATTGCTACCTGTGACCTCCGGTATCGTAAGTCACTGGCTGCCCTGAGGGGCAAGTGGGTTCACATTTCATTTCACCAAAAATGAAAAGAAAAAAGGGACAAAACTTCTTGGTAATTGTTAGTTATTCAGTACGTAATGCTATAAAGCTACCTCTTGTGCTAACCTTTCACATGAAAGAAAATAGAATCTGTATAATCTCCCTATAATTGTAATTAGGTGCAGAAATTGATTGACCTGAACTATTTAAATTTTTTTCATCTGTATGTAATTAATAATAAATGAATTCTACACACCAAACAATTTCTTTTGAAATTCATTTATTTGATAGTCTTCATTTGACCTCTTTGAAAATACCCTGCCACTCTGCTTTTGGTTTGCTCCTCTGATTGGCCATGGGCAATCACTCCTGCATAGAAATTCTTACTGACTCACTCCATGATGCTTGCTCTTTTGCATGCAAATGTTCTTTATATGGTTTTTGTTTTTGCTGTCATCAGATGTCCATGCGAAACGATCTAAAAATATGAAGACTGCACTTATCCAAACAGCGTTCTCTGTTTAAATAAAATATACAGCAAAGTTAATCAGACACATACTTAATGATGTGTATAATTGTTATCATGCTGCATGGTAATTAGGCATAATGCTAAGCTACTCATGTCATAGCGATGGGGAGTATATTTATATAGACAGATCCAGCATTTTTATGACAAGCAGAGGGAAAAAGTTGAAAGGTGGGGGGAACGAGGATAGGGCTGTAGTTTGTGGAAAGCTTCTCCTCTATCACATGAAGACTGAATATTTACCTGTTTTCTCTGATCTCTATCAGATCTGACCTTAAAGAAAGTCACCTAGCATCTCAGGCTCTTTCTTATGTTGATTTTCCCAGGATTTGGATGGACTGGAGCATCAATTGGCACTGGGGCTTCTTAAGCACGTAGATGTGGGTCTCCCATGTTGATCATTTTGGAAAGAAAAGAAACTGACTAGAGGACTAAAATATCCAACAACTCTCAATAGAACAAGTAAAAAAGAAATGTTTTCTATGTATAACTGTCTTGGCATAAGACCCCAAGAAGCAGTGGCCCTTTGTCGTCACATGTAGAGAAGACAGAGAATTTTTATCCTTTCCTTAAAAGGCTATGCATTACCATCTGGGGTGTGGAAAACACTTCATAAACCTGGGTGACCATAGGGAAGATCTCCTAATTACTCACTCAGTAGGGATGGTGGGCAGAATTGGCCCAAAGATTCCCGCCCCCTGGTGTACATGCCTTGTGTAACCTCCTTCCCTCAAGTGAGGGCAAAACCTGGGAATTAGGTTATGTTATAAGGCAAAGGTGAGGAAATTTTGAGATGTAATTAAGATCCCTAATCAGTTGACTTTGAGTTAATCTAAAGAGAGATTATACTGGGTCAGCGTGACCTTATCAGATGAGGCCTAAAAGGAAGAGTTTCCTGCTGGCTTTGAAGAAGTGAGCTGCCATGTTTTGAGATGGTCATATGGCTAGGACCTGAGGCACCACTAGGAGCTGAGAGCATCTACCGCTACAACAGGAGACTAAATTTTTTTTTTTTTTAAAGATTTTATTTTTTCCTTTTTCTCCCCAAAGCCCCCCGGTACATAGTTGTATATTCTTCGTTGTGGGTCCTTCTAGTTGTGGCATGTGAGACGCTGCCTTAGCGTGGTCTGATGAGCAGTGCCATGTCCGCGCCCAGGATTCGAACCAACGAAACACTGGGCCGCCTGCAACAGAGCGCACAGACTTAACCACTCAGCCACGGGGCCAGCCCCAACAGGAGACTAAATTTTGCCAACAACCTGAACAAGCCTGGAAGAACTCCTTGAGCTCCACATGAGAGAGAGCACAGCCCTGCAGACACCAGGATTGCAACCCTGTGAGACTCTGAGCAGAGGACCCAGTTAAGCTATGCTTGGATCTCTGATCTATAGAAACTGTGAAAAAATAAATGAGTGTTGTTTTAGGCCATTAAGTTTGTTCTGCAGGTATAGAAAACTAACACTGTTGGCTTTATCCATTCATATATTTAACAAATATTTATTGAACACTTACTGTCTTTCCTTATCCTGTTAATCTGGTCTGCATTTCTTTATGCAGAAAAAAATTACATCTCCTTGTATTTCGTATAACTGATCTAATTTTCGTGAGCCTTCACCAGCTGAAGTATGTGACAGAGAAAAACTTAAACTTGTCAGTTAAAATCGTTTCAGTTCCTTCTAATTTTATCACATTCTCATTTCATGTAAGTGTTCAGCCAGTTTGAAGCCCAACTCCATCACGAGCATTTAAACACCTTATACCTGTTCCCATCCCACTTCCTAAGTGGACCTCTTGGTTCCACTGAGAACTTACCATCTCTCTGCATACTTATGGTGGTGGAGGGGAGATGGGTCCTTACGTCCATGCAGTGACCTCTGGTCTCTCACTGGTCTCAGCTGTGAAGTGCTTGGCCTGGGCTGCTCTCTAGGGGGTATCCACTAAGCCAGGACTCGTCCCATCACTGATAGTTCTGCTGGTATCTGCTGCTGGTCTGTGGCTGCTGTAGGTCAAGGTCATGTCTCTCTTCACCTAGTCTGGGCTTCAGGTACTTCCTGACATAGGCTCACTCTGCTCCTCCTCTGAGACCCTCCATATGTCCCAGATTTGGATGTCCCATCTCAACCTTTTGCCCTTGTAGATCCAATGGCAGAACTTTTGGTTCTAACTCAGCATTTATCTACATCTCCCCCAACTCCAAAAGGCATGTGGAAACTTCTGTGTTTCGTCCTCCCTGAGACAACTAAAATTTAGCCTTCCCTCTGCCAGATCACAATATGTGATGAATTTCTTTTTGTTTGACCCCCCCTGCTCCCGGTCTCTCCCCGCCCCCACCTATACCACTGCAAAGATGGAAGGGACTCTCTTTCAAGAATCCTAGATGTAAAGAAAAGCAAAGCTCCCTACCCTCAGTGTTCCCATAGACTTATCTATCGCATTTCCCCCAATCTGGAGTAAAGTCTAACGAAGACAGATTTAGACACACATATCTCATCCCTGCCTCCCCTCCCTCAAACTCTTCCTTTTACTACAATCCCTAGATGCTGAAAGGAGCTAATTTTTATTTCTCCTTTCTATTCTCCCAGGAAGACCCTGAGTACCCTTGAGCCAGGAAGAGAAGGCTTTGGGCTCCCTAATTTCTTAGCCATAATGGAGGATAGTGAGTGGTAGAGAAAGACAGGTTGGTCAATAAGTATGTCTAAACTGAAAGGTCTTTAAAAAATAGTATACCCAGTTATAATCCCCCTGTAATAAATGTCCCCAGTCTCAGGGGATATTTACTCTTATTTAGGGATCATTTCTCCCTCTTCCCAAATGACAAGAGCCAAATCTTTGCCTTGAATCTACTTTCTGATTTGCCCCAGTCCCCAGGTCCTCCAAGGATGGCTGGGTAAAACTGGGGACAGGTCTCCTCCTGTGTGAAGGGACAGATTTTAGACCCAAGGAAACCCATGCTTTCCCAATACTGGCCCTTTCAGGGACCCAGGACAGGTGGGTGGGTAGGGCTTCCCTTGAGCAAAGGTGAATCTCAGGGGCTCTTACTTAGCTGGGGATGAAGTGTTTCCCGTGTTCAAGGACAGCAGGCTATGCTTTTTGGAGGGTTGCCACCTCCAAACCCCATTCACCTCCATGTTCTCTTTGGCCTTGGTTCTGTGACCCAGAGGGAAAAGGGTGACAGCCCGATTAATGTCCTTGAGAACAGAATGCCTTCACTCTCTATCTTTGTGGATTTCTTGAGCAACGTTTGCTTTGTATTTATCAGCTGTGGAGACATTTTCTGGCCTCAATATAGATCTGGAGTCTGATCTCTTTCTTGAGAGTGTAATTTTTGAAATATCTCCTGGGCCTGAGTTGCTGGAATAAGACTTCACCTTTCCTTATAAGGCTCAGTCCCTTCAAAGAGCTAGGGCCTTACTCCCCTCCCCACACACTCCTTCATTTCTTTAACCTGCTAATTGTCTGTGGTTGCCTGCAAACATAATTTTTCTCACTGTCAAGATGGTTCAACTCTCAAATTCTCCTCTGGGTGTTTGTTACCTGTCAGCTGCCCAAATATGTGATCCCCACAGGTTCTTCTGGGGCTCAAATGGGCTCCTCACGCAGCAAACTTGCAGGTTTTTTTCACTCTGATGTGGAAAGAAAATATAGCTTATTTAATTTGTCTATAAGTGGCTCCTTTTCCTCATAGGCCTAAACTTTGTATGATGCAATCATTTGAACAGCCCTTTTAGATAGTATTCAATCTAAAATAAAACGAAAATAAAAATGCACATTTCTTAATATTCCACATAGCTCCTGTCCAAAGGGCATCTGTGTATTTGGAGGCAGGTATAGCTTGACGATGGAGAGGAGATGGCAAGCTTGGATCCATATGGTGCTTCATCAATAATAAATGCAACAGCAATAAATACAACATTTATGATACACATAAATAATATTTTATATAATATATCCATGTATAATACACAATAGCTATATCTTTCAGTCTATATCTATCTAATCATCCATCCATCCATCCACATATACAATGCTTTGTATTATTAACAAAGCACGTAAAGAATGTCTTGACAAGGATGCTCCATGGCCTCGTGCCTCCTGAGAGCTCACAGTTCATCTCTGGGCACACTCCAGGTGCGTGCTCCTGCAGCCTAAGGGCAGCATATCCCCACCCATTGTCTTACTCAGCTTGCCCAGGCCTAGACATCTTTCCTGTGGCCTTAGCCCTGTCTCAGTTCTCACTGGCTTTGTGGACACTCCTGCCTCCTTCTGTCCTTACTCCGCATCCCCAGATCCCTACAAGCCAGATGGGAGCATGGACTGGGCTGCTTCTTCCCTTTCTGGTCAAGATTTCCACAACGTCCTAACTGCTTCCTCTCCTGGGCAGCAGGGATCTCAATCCTAAGTGCTCAGTTCTTGGTTTGCTAAAGGATTTAGAAAAGACTAACTTCCTTCGAGCCCTTTGCCTTACTGCAAAAACCTTCTTTTGAATATTAGGAAATGGAAATTAATTCTTTAATTCTCCCTCTGTTCCTAATGTAATAACTGTAACGTCTTCTCCCCACTTCTGGCACGCAGTTGCTTGCCTCGGGCCAGATACAGAGAAAGTCAGGTGTGTACACAGAAACGCAGGAGAGGAAAACTCATTAATATTCTTAGGCTGTTACTTAAGTACGCACGGTGTTCAATGGTGAATAAAATGGAACAATCTCTGCTTCTTGGAGGATGCAGCCTAGTGAGGGAGACAGATATCATACAAATAAGCACATAATGCTAGTGTGTAGTTAGCGCTTTGGTAGGAGAGTGAGTGCCTGGAGTTGACAGGGCTGCGAAGCATCAGGAAAGGCCCCTCTGAGAAAGACACAGAGACCTGAGGCTGAATAGACGTTGGTCATGCAGAGCCTAGAGGAGAGAACATTCCAGGTGGAGGGAACAATGTGTGGGATGGTTCTAAGGTGAGAGGGATGAGAGAAGATCAACAATAGCTTCCTTCCCATCTCACGCAGAGCGGAAGCCAAAGTCCTCCCACCACCTACAACACTCTGCCGTGCATAAGCCCTCATTACCTTTCCGACCTAATTCTATGGTGTCCTTTTATCTCTCTGACCTCATCCCTACTTCTTTCCTCTTTACACCCTCTGGAATAGCCACACTTGCCCCTTTGCTGTTCCTCAGGCACTCCAGGCAAGTTCCTACCTCAGGGCCTTTGCACTTGCTGTTTTCTCTGGCTGAAGTCTCTTCTGCAGGGTAGCTGCAGGGATCACTTCTCACATTCTTCCAGTTTTTACTCAGGATGCAACCTCTCCTTAACACCTGCCTTGGCCACCTTATCTAAAAACGTCAGTTCCTCCTGCTTTGACATTTTATGTCACCCTTCCCTGCTTTTAGTTTTCTTCTTGGCACTTATCATTGTCTAATGAACTATATATTTTATTCCTGCATCTTATTATTTATTGTCTGTCCTGCTCATTATGTAATGTAAGCTGTGAGGGCAGGGATTTTTGTCAGTTTTATTCACTACTCTATCTTAGCAATTAGAATAGTGCCTGGCACATAGTGAGTGTTCAATAAATATTTGTTGAATGAATAAACAAGTAATTGACACATCTGTTTAGTTTTTGGTTCACTTGGTTTGTTTTCTTCCCTTCCTATGGTGTTTACTCTGCCTCAGTCCGCCCGTGTCCTTTTACAGGCTTAGCCCACTCTGCCTCATCTTAGTCTCTTTGCTTCAGATTCCCTGACAGTCTGACACATCTCCTGGGATTTTAGCTGGTGATTCAAATTTTGTTCCTTCCTTCGGGCCCTTCATGATTATTTGTGGGTCCTATAGCACCACTGTGTGCCAGGCACTGTCCTGGGCCCTGCAGTATGGTGATGAGGAAGACAGTATCCCTATCTTCATGGAGCTTAGATTATAAGCAAAAATTTTTTTCCCAGAGATTCTATCTTTGGACAAATCCATCACCTCTACCTCTCTTCTGCCTCCACCTGCCACAGGGCAACAGAAACAGCAGCAGCCTGCCCGGTGGGGCGTCTCACTGTTGAAGTCACCAAATGTGGTACAATGGAGCTGGATGTAGGTGAAATGAGAGATGAACCTGTCTGATAGACATCTTCCAGAGGGATGCCGAGATGCCTGGGCTGTACCCGCTGAGGGAATTATTCAGCTGGCAGGGGGCAGGCAGGTGAATTCCCTAGTCTGGATAAATCAAGCTGGCCACTCAATTTCCCAATGCTGTTTAACTTCCTCATTACATGATAAGGAGGATTCTTTTATTCTAAATTTTTTCTTAGATAAATTAGAATGGCCACTGAGGAAGAATGGCTACATCTGTGTAGGCCATAAAAAGCAATGAAGCATCGTCATTCAGATTCCCATAACCACATGGTTTTACAAAACCTGATTGCTCACATTTGGACATGCCATTTGAAACACACATATTGTACACTCTGAACGTCACACTTACAGTGTGGCAAATGCCTACAGAAAATTAACTGGAAAACCTGACAGGTGCCCATAGCTGGCACTAATGCCTTTCTATAGGGGGCTCTGATGTATTGCCATCATTGTGATGAATGAAATCAGAGATATGGTATTACACACATTCAAAATATTGAAAGATAGCTGAAAGTATGCTGGGGAGAATTCATTTTCATTAGCATAGTCTGGCTGATGAAAAAGGATTAGAAGCTTTATATATATGTATTTAGTTATTTAGATGTTATGTTTTAATGAATGTACACTATTTTCACACATAATTCAATCTTAGTAGCTAATATCATTTTCATATTTTAGATTGGACCACATAGAATTTTAATTTAATGAATGCCAGGTATTTTCCAGAATCACGTCAAATTTTAGTACTGAAACCAAGTTAACATGAGAGACTCCATGTCTAACCACGCCCCCCACCACCCCTGGGCAAAAGATTTAAGACCTTTGCACAAACTATTCCTTTTTTCCCTGATAAGAAAATAACTAATGTTTTCTTAGATTGCTTAGGAATGTCATAGTCAGCAGATCTGGAACTTTTCTACAGAAAGGTGCCTGAAGTTTATTACAGGGAAACTGATGCCCAGAGGATATCAAGAAGCTGAAGCTTCCCAGACCCCAACTCCTTCCTGGTGCCAGAATCCACCATTCCTCACCCAAGGCAGACAACCAAGGATGCTCACCTGCGGATTCCCTTATCTTGCCATCCCCCTTCTTGCAAGCAGCCTCATGAGGCCAAATACAGACTGGTGACAAGGCATCAGCCAGCAAGGCCACAGGCTCCCCTCCCTACAAGCAGTTGCATTCCTCGCAACCTTTAGAAACCTCTGCCTCCCATCTTTCGAGGAGATGAATTTGAGAGCTTACTCTCATCTCCTGGCTGACAGTACCCAAAATAAACTCCTTTCCTTGCCATAAGTCTGGAGTTCCAGTTTTTATTTTGGCCTGTCTTGTGTGACAGGTAAAAAGACCCTTTGTTTGCGGCTGGTAACAGTATAATTATAAATAAAGAATCATAGACCATTTTTAGGTCCATTGGACAAAAATGACCGCTACCACACTGCCTATTGTGGTATGGTAACTACAAGCTCCCGTCAGGGTAAGGACGGGATCCTCTTCATGCTTGCTTATCCTCATACAACACCAGAGCATCAAGGAGAGACTCACACACATAAGAGATTCAGTACGAGTAGAATTAATCTAAGAGCTGGCATGCACACTGTTTGGCTTAGAGAAGCACAATTCACATGAAAGGTAGCAGTAAGCATGGACTCCGGAGTCAGACTTGGTTTCAGATCCCAAACCTGCTACTTCCTTGACCCTGAGCCTCGGTTCCCTGCTCTATAAAATGAGGATAATAGTAGTACCAACCTCGCAGGGTGCTGGTGAGGATTAAATGAGTTAGTTAAAACACATAAAGCATTTAGAACAGTGCTGGGCATATGAGAAGAGCACAATAATATGACCTTCTATTATATAAGCACAAGTATTGAAAAAGAAAATAGATATAGGACTAAGACACACTTTCCCACTGCTTTACCCCTACACGTCCTCTTTCCAGACACATGCACACACATGCACATTCGCACACACATAAACCCCTCATAAAAATGAAGAGAAGAGAGATTCCTTCACAAGCCACCAGGAAAAGCACTAATTCTCTTGGGGGAATCCTGATGTAGCCTCTGCTCCTTTAAATGAACCCAGCCTGCCCTTGTAAGCCTGAGCTGGGATTATGTAAAGCCCCCGTGGGGCCTTCCAGCTCTCTCTCTGGAATAATTCCAGGTCACTTTCCATCTGCCAGTAGTGCTGATCCTTGATCTTAGAGTGATAAATAATCTTTCCAGATATTAATTTATGTGGCTTTCTCCTTTTTCTTTCTTTTTCCTCCTTCTCTGTCTTTCTCCCTCCCTTGCCCCATTCAAGCTGACCCTTGACTCAGCTCTACTGGCTTCAGTGACTGGTGGGATGGGGTTAGGATGGAAAACACTAGAAACCTGCAAAGTGTCCTGACCTCCTTCGTGCAAAATCTAAGCCCATGGGATAATTAGAGGGTTTGAAAAGCTGGTAGAAAGGTTAAGTGAATTTTTGAGGGTAGAACGGTTTATAAGAAACACAAGGGAGAAAGATTTCCTGCAATTTTTTGAAAGGTTCTATTGGATTGCGACAGGGTTTACAACCTGAGGGTTTTACCAGCAGAAGAGACCTGAACACTGTTCCCTGACAAAGTCCCAAACATGTGATGTGACTCGAGGAGGATTGACTGCACAGTACGCTGGGAAGCTGGACTCATAGAACCTCATTAAAGATTTCCACGTGCAAAGATCGGGTTGGAAGTGATAAAGGGCTGGCAGTAAACAGACACGTGGGTAAAGATTATGGGATTCTCCAAGTAATCTGTGTGGACAGCAGATCGAAATCCAGAGGGCCTCTTCCCTATGCCTTGGACATGTAGAAGTCTCTGGGAAAGTAGCAAATGCCTGTGTGTGGAGAAACCCCAAGAAATGACAGATCCACTTTCCCACCTGCCTGGTGGCCTGGGGCTCAAAATAGGAATTAACTTGATGTATACAAAATAAACACGCTGATGGCTCATACCTTCAGCAGTCCTTAACTTTCTCTGCCAACAAAACCCCAACCCCCTTTAGGGTGTTTACATCTCCTCCATTTGAGGACACTTGATGGAATTGTCGATCGAGTCTCCCTATAGCAAAGAGGGGAAGGCACAAGACCCACATCAAACCAGTTAGGCTCCCTCTTTTAGGACCTTGATTCTTGAGAGGAGTGATGCAGACACAGTCTGCCCTCTGTGCCCGCGGTTCTGCATTTAACCAACCGCAGGTGCAAAGGCCTAAGACAGTTGCATCTGTACTGAACACGTGCAGTCTTTTTTCCTTGTCACCATTCTTTAAACAGTACAGTATAACAACTATTTACATAGGATTTACAGTGTATGAGGTATTATAAGTAATCTAAAGAGGATTTGAAGTATATGGGAGGATGTGCGTAGGTTATACGCGAATACTACACCATTTTATATAAGGGGCTTGAGCAACTGTGTGGGGGGTGAGGGAGGGTCCTGGAACCAATCCCCCTGGATACCGGGGGAAGACTGTACCAAAGAACTGTTGGATCTGACCGATGCCGATTTTAGTAGTAATCAGTTCCTGCTACCTAGATTCTCAGAGCGGCCCCATGTTCTGCCCTTTGCAAGTCCACTTCTTCAGGTTTGCCTTTGATTCTAAGAACTGCTTCTTGTACTTCCACTATAATCCTCTTCAAGATAGAAAGGGTTTTGGTAGAAATACAAAGGTAGAAATAATTGGCATTTCTTGTTACAACTCCTAAAACTGACGTTTCTAGTAACTGTTATAGCATCCCACTGTCCATAGCTTTGGATGGAGGAACTGGTGAGGAATTGCAGTTGTAGTCGGCCTTGGCTTCCTGCCGAGATATGCATTTTGATGTCTCCTTTGGCTTCATACACTGACCCCTCTAGTAAGAGGTGACCTGCTCTTTCCTCTGTCTCAGCCCCAGTGACTGACTTCCCACTTCCCCTCTCCCAGAATCTGCTTCACAAGTAAGAGAACCAGAGAGGTGTCTGGCTGATCCAAAATTTCCTGATCAATAGAAGATGGTCTACCCTCCTCAGTGAGTCCCAGTATGAGCTTTGTTTCATTAATATCCAGATTTCAAAACGTTAGCATGAATGGATCTTGTTCTGATCAGTGGCTGATAGCAAGAGCTGGATTAAGTTTTGTCCCAAAGACAAAGTCTTTTAACAATTTTTATTTTACTCTTTCATGTCATTTCCTTTTATCTGAGTTGCAGCTTTTGTTTGCTGTGCAAACACCATGCTAACATTTTTATGTATCAAAAATTATTCATCTCAAAATATTAGTGAATTCACAACTGCAACTCAGTCTTTAATATCTTCATTTATTTTTCATCAAAAATTTACTTTGAACATATGTGTTGTTTTGAAGCATTCAACAATAAATTTAATTTTACATGTTAGATACATATTTTACTGATTTTGCATTTTCATTTTCTCCCTTTTTTCCAATTAAAATTTTAATACATAATATAAGAGAGGATAAAGACTAAAAGACATTCAGTGTATAATTTAAAAATTCTTAACATTTTGTTTTCCAACTTATTATATTGTAGGACAAACCATTTTCAGAATAATAAAATGAAGCTAACATTTTCTTGTATTCTCTCTCTAAATTTACTTTTATCAAATCTTTTTGATTTTCTATTTTCTAAAGTCAAGTGATCGCATATTGAGAAATGATCTAAACAAGAAATGACCTAAGCTCAACACATAGTAAATGCTTAACTAAATATTTATTGAATAAGTGAACAGGGCAATTTGATTTGTTTTCATTCACTACCGACTATCTTTCAGAGCATTAAACTACTCTTCTTCATTTGTCCCTTCTCACACATCACAAGGGATTAACTCACAGATTTTTCTCTTGTATCTGTTTCCGTCATGTTCATACAGAAGTGCTCTCAGCTTGTCTGAAGGGTTCCCACTGGGTGAGATCCATTCATTACGTAAAGTTTAGCTGAGCACCTGTTACGTGTTGGACACTGGGTTGACATGGAAGTCAACACACCATCCCTTCCTTCAAGGGGTTTGAGGGAGTTGAAAACTAAACAGATGATAAGAGCAAAACTGGTAAGTGTGCTTAGTGGTATATTCAGAGGGCCATGAGCAAACAGAAATAAAAGTGCATCTCAAAGTCTTCTGGGGTTAGGAAAAAACTCACAGAAGATGAGCTCAGAGATTTCAAATACATGTCAAATAGTCAATAAGTTTTCTTGCTCTTTTTGGAGCTAAGAACATCTCAAGCATACTGCTCTCTGCCTTCAAAATAAATTCTCTCAGATAGCACTAAAGTAGAACAATTAGATAGCTTGACAAAAAGCAGGGTTGCACAACATCAAATGCACAACTCATAAAAGAAAAAAAAGATAAATTAGACTTCATCAAAATTAAAAACTTTTGCTCTGCAAAAGAGAATGAAAGACAAGTTACAGACTGGGAGAAAATATTTGTAAATCACATATCTTACAAGATTCTTATATCTAGAAGGTACAAAGAACTCTCAAAACTCAACAATAAGAAAACAAACCACCCAATAAAAAACGAGCAAAAGATCTGAACAGATACTTCACCAAAGAAGAAATATGGATAGCAATAAATACATACAAAGGTGCTCAATATCATTAATCATTTAGAGAATGCAAATTAAAACATGAGCTATCGCTCCCTACCTATTAAAATGGCTAAAATAAAAAATCTCCAAAATACCAAGTGCTAGTTAAGACACAGAGCAACTGAAACTCTCATACATTGCTGGTGGGATTGCAAAACTGTACAGCCACTTTGGAAAACAGTTTTTCAGTTTCTTATAAAGTTAAACACACCTACCATGTGACCCAGTAATCTACTTTTTATCCAGGAGAATAAAAACATATATTTACATAAAATCCTTTACATGAATGTTTGTAGCATTGATTCATAATGTCTAAAAGTTGGAGACTATCCAATGTCCTTCCACCCATGAATGGATACACCAACTGTGATGCATTCACATAAGGGAACATTACTCAGCAATAGGAAAAAAACACGCTACTGATAGACTCAATAATGTGGATGAATCTCAAATGCAGTTTGCTAAGTGAAAGAAGCCAGTTCTAAAAGGATACATAATGTATGATTTCATTTATATGACATTCTAGAAAAGGAAAAACCATACGGACAGAGAACACATCAGTGATTGCCAGGGGTTGAGGATGGGTAGAGGGTTGACTACAAAAGGGCAGCACAAAAGAAATTTTCAGGATGACGGAGCTGTTCTGTATCCTGACTGTGGTGGTAAATATGTTTTTGTTAAAACCATAGAACTGTACATAAAGAATGATTTTTACTGTATATAAATTTTAAAAATTGAGAAAAAAGTAGGGTTTTTACCTTCCAGTTTTTCGCCCAAAATTATAAATATAGAGATAAAAACAAATTCTACTTTTAGTATAATTCCTTCAATATTAATAGAGGGTAAAACATAGTACAGATTATTTAGTTATATGGATGTACATATAGAGCTTGACATTCGAGTGCTAAATCCATAGATGTGGGTCAACTATTTGAAGTATAAAATGATTAACAGAGAAAATTAATTTTTAAAACACTAAATTTCTGATGAGGCCCTAGTGCAAAAATCCGTGAAAATGAACATTAAGGGTAACCCATTTGAAGGTAAAAAGGCCCCATCAAGAAATATCGGCAAATAATGAGAGAGTAAATCTTGGTATTCGGATTTAAAGGAGCACCTTTGTTTTTCAGTTCTGGCTTAACCACTGCCCCTGAAACAAATTGAAAAAAAAAAATGTAGGGACCTAAAAGTTCCAGTACCAGGTGTACCAGGAATTCCCAACAAATCGGATCTATCAAGTATTTCAGTGGTCGTACTAGCCAGGACTCAGCAGGTTGCAAACGACAGAGACCCAACCTCAGATAAACAGAAGGATAACTTACTGGCTGACAGAACACAGAAGATGAAAGAAAAAGGTGTAGGAATCTGAGATAATATGAGAGGGCACATTATCACTTTAAACTCACATGAATCCGAAACCTCACTCTATCAAACTTTGCCAATAATTTCAAAGATACAAGTAATTGTGATGCACAGATAAAGTAATGAAATGCAGGTCCACACATCTTTTCTTACCACCTCTGGATGCATTCTGGTTCAGATTAGCACACGAATTCTATAAGTCATGTACGGGGCTACATTACTCACACAAAAGGATGCTGTTCGGTTATGAAACATCTCTGTTTTGTACCCAAATAGTTACACAGCTTACGTAAGATTTTCTGAGAAGCTATGCCCGGTAAATCTATAGATTCCAGATTTGTTTATTATAAGTGATGCTACATAGACCAGGAAGATCCTTCTAAAGACGTTACACAGAGGAAGATTCTCCTCCCCGTGAATATTATTGGTATGTTTGCCAGAAGGTCAGTGTTGACAAGGAATTTGCCCAGCTCACCTTTCTCATTCCTCCTCTGGAGGTGCCACTGCCCCACCGCCCGCATGAAAGTGGGAGGAGGGGTGCAGCTCCACTGCTATTTCCTTCTGGGAGCCGAAGCCTTGAGGACGTCTTAAATCAGAGACTCAGCCTCACGAAGAGGTTTTTTTTGCTCTCTCTTTCATCTTCCCTCTTTCTCAGTCTCTGCTTGGCTTCATTTTGTAGATAGGGTCTTTCCTTACAGTTTGGAAGATAGCTGCCAACAGCTTGATCTTAGAAATGCCAGTAGGAACGATTAGTTTTTGTTTTTTTCCCTCTTAGACAACTAGAAAAAAAGGGAGACGGTCCCTGCTTCAGTGATGTATCATCTCTGGGTTAGGGAGCTCAAGTCCCGAACTGAGTGGAACCAGGGGAGCAAGGTCTGTTATTTAGGAAGAGGAGTTGGAAAACTTCCTGGGCAGATAAAAAGAATAGCCGAGACCCCACCGAAACATAGGAATCATCCCTGTCTCAAACACAACCAAGTTTAGTCAGAACTGTAGGATTTGGTTAATAAATGCATTCTTAATGATACTTTTGATACTTAATGATACTTTTATCCATGTTTTACTAGGTGTGAGTTTAAAGTAAGACTTTTAAATACAGAATGATTGTTTTTCAAATTAGGTTCTTTCAGGAGGCCATACTGTTCTTTAAAACATTCTGCAAATATTTAAGAGATTTTCATAAATTTGTGTGAAAATACTTTCAAAATAAGTTTGAGTTACACAAGAAAATTATTCTCCTTCCCTTTATAACAATATATTCAATTTAATTGTCTACAGTTGAATGTTTTATCATTAGCATTTGTCTTAACAAGAGAAAACTCTGAAAGTTATTAAGTATATTGTGACAGAAAAATAATTCAAAAGTCTTTAGAGGTCAGACCACTCCCAAATTAATAAACAATGATGTTTTACTTGCAGCTGTAAACTATTCCATAAAATGGAATACTGGCTGTAGAGAATAAATTCGTAAAACAAGAATATGCTGTTTGGCATGTATTTAAAAATAGGATTCATGTCCTTTTTGGAAATGCTGTAAGATTTATTTCCAATTCTGACTATATGACCACTCAGCTGGATCTGTTTTCAGCAGTATTTTTTTTTTTAATAAAAAGGATCATGGTACTTTTATGCAGACAAAAGTACATGATTACAATGAAAACTGGGGACTCTGATCATTCCGTGTGATTGATTGAGAACTGATTACATCCTAGTCACTATTTCCTCCTCCTCTAGCCTTTGGATAGACAAGGATCTCTTCCATTCAATTTACTTGAGAACCAAACGTGCCAGGTCTGGAAAGGTTGTTCTCAATCTTCCTGAAACTTTCAGGGTCTTTTTTTGTATCTTTGTGAGTTTGCCTGGGAGCATCTTCAAGGGATTTTTGGATTTGTTTTGTTTTTGCTTTTGCCAACAGTGATGCTTGGGTTCTGAGAAATACCTTGGGATGGAGAAAAGACTCATTGAAAAGGAAAGGTGTGGCTTTGGGCAGATCAACCACCACCACCACCAGCACCACCAGTCTGCTCAGCCTCTTCTAAGCTTCTAATTATGAGAGTAATAGAAATATGCTCTCCAAAGTCCAGTGAAGAAAAAGTAGTTTTTCTCTAGACCTTCTTAGAGGGGTAATGTTTCTGTTAAGAATTTTGGAAGGATGAGTAGAGCTCAGCAGGAGGGCAGAGGAATGTGGGGAGAAAAGAACTCCAAGCCAAAGTGCCCGGGTGTAAAATGCAAACGTTCAGGAACCGGAGGCAGCTTACTGTGGACAAAGACCAGCAGTCTCAGGCCAGGAAACATCCTGGTTTGTGAAGAAATCTGGACGTCCCTCTAGAAATTATGAGGTCCATTGGAAATAGAGAAGCAATTGGTGCAGACTGCAGTTTGGAAGCACCCGTCTTGCTGCAGCTAGAGGAGGGACGCAGGCCGATGTGACGAGAAGCAGGGACGATGGTTGGCCAGCCATTTTCCTTGGGAGAATAGGTGAAGGGCCGCAGCTCCTGCAGGAGCAGTGAGAATGGAAAAGGGAGGAGACACACAGGAGCTATTACTGACAACTTCAGATCTCCTGGATGTGAGGACTGGGAAAGGGAGGTGTTCTTCCTGCTGCATCCAGAAAGATCCTTGCAGAAAGTAATTATGATAAACCACTGACCTTGTTTAAAAGGCATTCACTGACTCCCTGTTGTTTTTAGACAAAAAACCAAATTCCTTATCTGTTCACTTTTGCATCTCTAGTACTGAATATATAGTAGACGATAAGCACAATTATTCTCCATTGCATCTCCTTCTTCTTGTTCGATGAATGTGTGCCATTTAAAGTGATATGTATTTTCCCCTGAGGGTGGAAAGAGATTTTAAAGGAGATAAACTGAGGCCACTGTGAGTAGCAGAGCTGTAAACAACTCTTGTGTGTCAGCTTGTCCAAATAAGATGATTAGGATAAAATTCTCACTAGACTATAAATTGTAATACAAATATAAAGATTATGATTCTGTTCTTTTGCACATTTGATACTTGCTGAGTTGGTCCTCAGTCTTTGGTAGAATATTAATAAATGTTTTTCGGGTCAGAGATATGAATGTTCTAATCTCAGGTGACTGTATGCTAAGACTATTTATTATTTTAAAGGACCTTTTTCATACAAGCAAAACCCAGGAGCATTTCAAAGTGTAGAATTTTGGCAAGGCCATCAGATATATTCCTATAAATGCATGCCTTGAGGTCTTTTTCTGAATGTAGTAACCCATTTGGGATAAACATTCTTAAAATGATCTCACATCAAATAAATATTGACATGAATTTTAAGGTCATTTGACACACGACCAGAATATTAACAGGAGGCTAAATCTGATGCTTTTTTTTTAAACCAATAAGTAGAATTGCAATTCATTACATTTATTTTATAATATAAATCTCTAGAATTAAGAAACCATTTTGAATCTCGGTGGCCCCATCATACCCTAAGTGGCTAAGAAAGATATACAGTCTCTTCACGTACAATGCTTGTAAAGTGTTTTTCATATCCCATTTTTTTCTATAATGCTCAGAAACCAAAGGACCTGAGATGATAAAAGAGACAATTCTTTCAAGCTATTATTTACCTCTGTATATTTCATTTTTGCCTTTCTGGACTATGCTTTGTAGGTAACAAAGGAAACAAAGAGAACGAGAATTGGGTCTGGGAGGGCAAAATCAGAGAGGAAAAATAGATTCTTATTATCGAGATAGATGATGGATTTATGGAGGCAGGACAAAAGGTTCAGTCATTCTTCTAATTAATATTTTTGTTCCAGATCAAAGCACAAATATGTTTCAGGGTTTGTGTGTGAGGGGATATTCATTATGATGAGAAATATTTCTTCTTGGGAGCCAAATAGCAGGGAACATATCTCATTTCACTATAAAGCTAGACATAAATTTTATTTATCTGACAAGAGAACTGGTGATGTCTTCATATCCCACAGAGTAACCTCTTAATTTCTATGTTGCAGGGAGCAAGCCCAAATTCCCCATCCATCTCAAATCAGGTTTTTGGCAAAAATTGTTTTTTTAGAAATTACTATGTCTCAAACTTTTGGTCATCTGTGTGTGTATGTGAATGTGTTTGTGTGTTGAAAAGGAGGATGTTCAATGAAAAAGAATTAACATGTGTAATTGCTGGAGAAGGGAAGAAGTGGACCTTGCATCTTAATTTTTAAAGATGAAATCATTAAGGTAATAACTTGAAAAGATGATGCACTCTTTTTCCAGGTCCATTCGTGACCACTCTTTGAGTACTTGCTCTCTAAAGTCACCTTGGGTCTGCCTTATTGTTGTTGCTTTCCTTGCATTGGTGGTTCCTTCCATTTCTCCCTCTTTTATTCCTACTAAAAGGAGTGTCAAAAAATACCAAAATGTCAAGTTAAAGAAGATTGTCACAGTCAAGACAGATCATAAGCATTCAAGTGAGGATGTCACATGAAGAAGATATAATAAATAACATTCAAAGTTTTAGATGGTGTGGTAGGCAGAGTGGCACCCTCAGAGGTGACATGCCCTAATCCTGGGAACATGTGAATATGTTATGTGACCTGGCAAAAGGGGCTTTGCAGTATAATTAAATATATATTGAGCTAAGGAGTTTATCCTGGATTTTCTGGATGGGCACAGCAGAGCACCTTCTCCGGCTAGAGTCAGAGAGATGAAACAGAATGAGAAATGTTGGAGAGACTCAGCTCCATGAGTCTGTTGCTGGAGGGGACCACATGGAAAGCTTGAGAACAAATATGGGCACTTCTAAGAGCAAATACCAGCCTCTGGATGATGGCCAGCACGGGCACAAGGACGTCAGTCCTACAATCACAAGGAACTGAAGTAAATGAGCTTGGAAAAGCTGAATGAGCTTGGAAAAGAATTCTTCCCCACAGCCTCCACCAAGGAATATAGCCCTGCTGACACCCTAATTTTGGCCTTGTGAAACCTTAACCAGAGTACTCAGTTTAAGCCCGCCCAGAGTTCTGATCTACAGAAGCCGTGAGATGAAAAAACTTGTGTTGTGTTAAGTCACTAAGTTTGTAGTAACTTGTTATGGCAGCAGTAGAAAACTAACGCATATGGATACAGATTCCAATGGAATCTTTAGTTCTATTTTTACTGTTAAAGTTTTGATAATGAAAGGGGGGAAAATAAAACCAATTTAGAGTAGCTTTTCCTCAAAATTTACCTTCTTTTTTCAGGCAGGTTCAGTCAGGACAAAAGAAACCACTGCAGGTATTTCAAGCAGGAAGGATAATAAGCACTCTAAGAAAAGCACAAAACAAAACATAAACAAGTATTGAGGAAGTGGAAATGAGGAAAAACATCTCTCATGAAACCTGGAAATTGAAGAAACCACCACTGTGATTTCAGCTATCTGTGGCGCCGAAATGAGTATTCTCAGCAGAATGTCTGGAAGCGGTTGGCAAAACTTCATTTCTGCTGTCTGCCTGCCTTGCTCAGCTGGAGGGATAATAATGGCTTCTGCCTCTCTTGTGCATTCCAAATCTCACATGACTGCCTCTCGCTGGTGGAGTCTAACCCAGGACCCAGGCTTCCAGCCCCTGCAATGCAGAGAAGAGCACAGCAGAAACATGGCTGTGAGTGGCTGGCACGTTGCTGTACTTTATTGTTTCTACTGCATCAATACCCACTCGTGGAAAAATGAAGTGAAAAAAAAAAAAAAAAGAAAAGAAGGCAGGAAGAGGAAGGGAACACCATCCACCAAAGCACTTGATGATATAAGATTCAGACACTTGCAAAGTGAAATTGTAAAACAGCCTCAATTCTTCCTTGCAAGCTCCCTTGGATGAGTGCCTTCATTCCAGGACTCAGGATATTTCTTCTGCACTCACACAATGTAGAATCATGGAAAATTAGAGACCATTTACTTCAATTTTCTCCTTTTAAATGAAAGAAATGAGGAATCTATAGAGGTTGCTGAATAGTTCAAGTCAAGATAGCTAGTTAGTGACTAAACAAGGTCAAGGTCTTTTGAAGTCTTTCTAGTCTCCCAACTTAGCGTCAAAGTCTATGAAGTGTCAGGGACTTGTTTTGCCTGACTTGCAGGCTA